AGCACTAAGCATACCTGAAGATGAGGTGTCAGCCTGATGAAGCGACCAAAAAGGACTACTTGCAACCCAAACAGCAAAAGCAGCAAGTGACAGACAGAGCTAGGTGATCCCACAACCGACGGATCAGATCTAAGCTCTGCAGTCCTGCCACAAGCAGTCATGAATGGTGGTGAACAATTAAACAACTCACTGGAGGAGGAGGCTCCACAAATATCCCCATCCTCAATGATGGAAGAACCTAGTTAATCAGTGAAAACGATAAGGTTAAAGCATTCGCAGCAATTTTCAGCCAGAAGTGCCAAATTGACGATCCATCTCTGCCTCCTTCAGTGGTTCCCAGCATTACAGATACCAGTCTTTAGACAATTCGATTCAGTCCACATGATATCAAGAAACGGTTGGAGACACTGAATACTGCAAAAGCTATGGGCCCTGACAACATTCTAGCACCAAGGCCACTCAGCTCCTGATTTCATTACAGCCTTGGTTCAAACACGGACAAAAGAGCTGAATTGCAGAGGTGAGGTGAGAGTGACAGCCCTTGGCATCAAGGCTGCATTTGACCAAATGTGTCATCAAGGAGCCCTCGCAAAACTGGAATCAATGAGCATCAGGGGGAAGACTCTCCAGTGGTTGGAGTCATACCTGACACACAGGAAGATGGTCATGGTGGTTGAAGGTCAATCATTCAGCTCCCAGCTCCAGGACATTTCTGCAGGACTTCCTTAAGGTACTGTCCTTGGTGGAATTGCAGATAGTGAGGAGGATTGTTAGAGGATACAGCACAATATAGATCAGTTGGAGGCATGGGCAGAAAAATGGCAGATGGAGTTTAATTCGGATAAGTATGAGGTGATGCATTTTGGAAGTAAAGTACAGGTGGAAATTATACAGTGAATGGCAGAACCCTTAGGAGTATTGATATGCAGAGGGATCCGGATGTGCAGGTCTACAGATCACTGAAGGTGCCAGCGCAGCTAGATAAGGTAATAAAAAAGGCCCAGCGCATGCTTGCCTTCATTGGAAGGGGCACTGAGTATGAAGATAGACAAGTTATGCTGCAACTTTATAGAACTTTAGTTAGGCCACACTTGGAATATTGTGTACAGTTCTGGTCACCACATTACCAGAAGAATGTGGATGCTTTGGACAGTGTACAGAAAATGTTTACCAGGATGTTGCCTGATATGGGGTATTTTAACTATGAAGAAAGGTTGGATAGACTGGGTTTGTTTTCACTGGAATGCAGGAGGTTGAGGGGCGACCTGATACAAGTTTATAAGATTGTGAATAGCATGGATAGAGTGAAAAGTATGAGGCTTTTTCCCAGGGTGGGGGATCAATTACTAGGGGACACAGGTTCAAGGTGCAGGGGGAGAAGTTTAAAAGACATGTGTGAGGCACCTTTTTCACACAAAGGGTGGTGAGTGCCTGGAACATGCTGCCAGAGGAGGTAGTCGAAGAAGATATAATAGCAACATTCAAGAAGCATCTAGACAAATATATGAATAGGAGGGGAATAGAGACATTCGGATTCTGCAGGTGAAAACAGTTTTAGTATGGTCGGGCAAAATGCGTCAGCGCAGGCTTGGAGCGCCAAAGGGCCTGCTCCTGTGCTGTATTCTTCTTTGTTCTTAAACCCTGAAGCTCAGCAGCATTGACATTAGCAACTGGGAGGAGCTTGTTATGTACAATTTGAAATAGCACAACTCATCCATCAAGATGTATCATATTTTGATTCCAAATGCTTTCATGATGAGGTAGAAGTGCCAGAGAACACAAAAGAAGAAAATCCTGCATTCCGGACCTCACTACCCCATGGGAGATCCTTCCCATGTTAGCAAAGATCTGGAGTCATGAACTGGCCTGTTTGGTTTCACGAAGGCCAATGGCAAAACTCGTGACTGTTGAGTAGATATCAAATAGAGAGAAGTCAACGATGACAAGAATAGTGCTTTAAAGACTGGAAACTAATAAAACAATACAAGCATTTTCTGTTGGATTCTTAAACATCTTTGAAAGCATACCTTGAAATAAAGCATATCATGCAATAAAAGCACATAGTGAAATTGTCAATTCATTATGCAAATTCTTTTACTTTAAAAATATTATTAATATTGCTTATTCATAAAATTCAGAAACTAATTTTTTGTCTCTTGTAAAACAACTTGAATTGACTGAAATCCAAAACAAACATTAATTTTGAACCAAGGTTCCAAAATTTCTGAGTCCAGAATAGGATTTAAGAGGATCATCGTATCACAGCTGAAAGGTGGAACAGAATTCAGTTCTATGTTTCTGAAATAACTGCACAGAGGCTGGTATCCCATCACCAAGTCACCCTTTATTTACATGTGCACAGTATACTGGCTGTGGCCAGCCAGGTTGGAGTCAGTCCCCTGAGCCTAGGAGATTATAAATCCCCCGTTTATATTGATCAGCCAGGGCTTCCTGATTGTCCCAGGTTAACAACCCCAATCAAGGATCTTCTAGTCAACAAGGTCCACCTGGTTCCAATTACTACATTTTCCATCCTCTGTAAAGTGTAACTTTGAATGTGAATGGGTCAAATGGGTGACACAGTAGTAACATCACTGGCTTCATAATCCTGAGGCCCAAGCTAATTAATGATCTAGGGACTTGGGTTCAAATGGGTTGCAGCTGGTAGCTCATGGAATTTGATATCAATTGATTTAAATCCAGTCTTAGCAATGATGACTATGGAAACCATCGTTTATTTTAAAAATGCATCTGTTTCACTAATGTCCTTTAAAGGGAGGAAATTTGTCATCCTGTGATTCCAGACCGACAGCAATGTGACTGACTTTTAAATGCCCTCAGGCATTGGTATAGCAAGCCACTCAATTCAATGAGAAGAAGGGATGGACAACAAATGCTGGCCTTGCCAGTGATCCTCATTACCAGTGAATGATAAAATGTGTGAACAAGAATTATACCTGCACATCAATATGTCAACAGGTCATATCTGGTGGAGTTCTGAGGCCACCTTTTAAGTTCTATCTTTTGATTTATAAAATATCAAAAGAGCCCTTCCCAAATAAAATTTGTAACTTATAAATTGCAAATTTGTAAATTGTCAAATGTAGTCAACATACAAAGAATGTTAATGTAAGAATTATTATACTGCTGTTCAATAATGTGTTCTAGCAACTCAGGAACAGGGGTAACTTGATGGTTTAGGTGGTAACATTTCAGATGGATAGTTTTTGTCTCATTGGCAAGATGGAAAAGCAGTGTATTTCAGAGGTCAGTACTGCAGCCTCAACTTTCTACAATTTACATCAATGACTTAGATGAGGGAGTGAAAGTTTGTAGCTAACTTCATAGATGACACCAAGATTGGTAGGAAAGTATGTTCAGAAGAAGACACAAAGAATGTGCAGACAATATAATTGGGTTGAGTGAGTGAATGAATAAAAATATGGCAAATAGAGAATAATGTGGAAAAAAGTGAAGTAGTTGCTGAAATAAGTCCACAAAGGTTGGTATCCCATCACTAAGTCACCCTTTATTTACACATGCATAGTACATGACACTGACCCAGTTGGCACAGAGCCAGCTCCTAGAGTGAGCAGAACCCCTGGCACTCCTGTTTATACCTGTCAGCTACAACTCTGTGATTGGACCAGGTTAACAGCCCCAAACAGGGAACTCATATTCTGTCAGATCCACCTGACTGACATCATTCCAATCATTACAGTCATTTTGGCAGGAACAATGATAAAGCAGAGTATAACATAAACAGGAAGTGACTGCAGATTTTCTTTTCATTCGTGGGATATGGACACCGCTGATTGAGCCAACGCTTGTTGTCCATCCCTAGTTGCTTGAGAAGATGGTGATGGCGATGGTGAGCTGCCTTCTTGAACTGCTGTATTTGGCGTAGGTAGACCCGCAATGCCACTAGCAAGGGACTTCGGGATTTTGACCCAGTGACACCGAAGGAACGGAGATATATTTCTGAGTCAGGATTGTGATTTCAAGCTGCAGAGGAATTTAGATATTCTGGTGCATACGTCACAGAAAGTTAGCATGCAGGTACAGTACACAATCAAGGTGGGTTCCTCTTCTTTATTACAAAAAGAATTCAACAAAGTAAGGAATGTGATGTTTTAGTCATACTTGGTACTTGTGAGACCACATTTCGAATACTGTGTGCAGTTTTGGTCTCCTTATTTTAGGAAAGATGTAAATGCATTGAAGGTAGTTCAGAGGAGGCTTACCACATTGATAAGTTGGGCAGGCAGGGCTCATTTTCATTGGTGGTTAGAAAATGAGGGTTGAATTGATTGAAGTGTATTAGATCCTGTGCAGTCTTGACCAAGTGGACATAGAAAGGATGCCTCCTCTTATGGGAGGATTAAGAACTAGGCAGCACTATTTTAAAATAAGGGCCCACACATACGGGACAGAGATGAGGAGTTATTTTCTCTCAGAAAGTTGTACAATTTTGGAACCCTCTGCCTCAGAAGCTTTGAAGGAAGGGTCAATGAAAAATTTTTAAGACAGAGGTAGATAGATTTTTGATTAGGCAGGGGAATTAAAAGTTATCATGGGTAAATGAAAAAATGGAACTTAAAATACAAATGGATCAGCCATGATCTTACTGAATGGCAGAGGACGCTCAAAGAGGTGAATGGTCTAGTTCTGATCCTATTTTCATGTCTGTATGTTCATATGTAATCTCTGTGTCTGGGCCACTTGTTAACCACAACAACCTAACACAATCACACAAGAGATTAGACTCCAGCCATATTGCAAGGAAGAGTGCTTCTTGCCATGATATTCTTTACCTAGGAGTGCCTGATGGGACAGCCTAGGTGATCATCCTTTGTACATAATAATGATTGATATTGAATATTTATGCTAAATAAGCCCAACATTAGTTTCCCTCATTGCCAAAAGTTGAAAGAAATAATTTATAATTGCTAATATAATGAGCAAAACTATTTATTAATAGAGTTAATATTCTTTCATACCTCATGAATATTCTTCCCAGTGATCGCAATGTCATTTTTGTACCGCACAAAGAACAAACAAAGGCCTGTAAGGCACACACTAGAAAAATCACTCTGAAATAATCTCATCATTTTGGATCCTTTAGAAAGTCCAGCGATAATTCGTCCACTTTCTAAAAATAATAAATTAATCAAAACATTAATCGACTATCTACTTTTCATATTTAAAAGTATGCAGCAAAAATTATATTTTTTACAGGTTGCAGTTTTCAAATGAAACAGCATCCTAACAATGTTAGAATGTGAAGTTCAACCTCCCTTGACAAATTAAGCAAAATACAAACATAAGAAATAAGAACAAGAGTAGAACATATGGCTTGTGGAGTCCGCTCTGCCACTCAATATGACCAAATTTGATCCTCTACCTCAGCTTCTCTTTCCCACACAATCCTCAATCCTGTGGTTTTCTGAGAGGTGAAAGATTGGTCTCCCAGTTCAATGTGTTTATTGATGGAGTTCCAGTTGGAATGTCAGGCCTCCAGGAATTCCATGGCATGTCTCTGTTTGAGGACAACACCTCCATAATAGCACGAGCCAAACAGAGACATGCCAGGGAATTCCTGGAGGCCTGACATTCCAACTGGAACTCCATCGACAAAGACATCGAACTGGACCCCTTACACAAACCACTGAGAAACAGGATCAGAAATAATGCCAACCACCCCAGCAAACTGAGGCAATAAATAGCAAGCGGGACAGAACACCACCGCTTTACCGGAGGCACACTGACGATATTACCTAGTAGGGTGACGAAACGTCTACAACCAAACACACCTGCTCAGCGAGCAAGTCTACAACCTCACCCTGAGTCTGTTTCCACATGTTCTTGATTTCCCAATCATGGAAAGAGCCTGTCATTGTAAAACTCACATGCTTCACCTCTCTTTCAGATTAAGTTCAGAGAGTATCAGCCCAATTTACTCAGCCTCCTATCTTAGGACATCGTCTTCCAGGGAACAAATCTAGCAATCTTTGTTGCACAATCTCCACGCTAAGCACATCCATACTTAAATGGTATCCCAAGACCGTTTTTCCAAAATCCTATACAACTATAGGAAGGCTTCCTTCTTCTTCCACTCCAATCATTTTGCAATAAAACATAAGACACCAACTGCCTTCCCAAGTGCTTGCTGTACCTGCATACTAACTTCCTGTGTTAACTATGCAAATCAAGTTCCTCTTAAAACATCATTCACAAGTTTCGGACCTTTCTGGCCAAGTGAATATCTTCCCACTTTGGAACATTATACTGTGCTACTGCACTTAAATCTATCTGTATCTCTTTGCAGCATTTTTATGTCCTTCTTACAGCTTAGGTTTGTAGCTTGTCATACCTCACTGTGGTAGTGCATTGGAAATCAAGCCCACTATTGTCAAGCCCAAGTCGTCAAAAAAGTTAAAAATTTATCAAACAGCACAAAATCCCCAATTTCCCTGTCACTATAGACCCAGGTTAACAGAAACACAAAACATTTTTGTACTTAATAAAAATTAATATTTACTATAAATAAATAGATTGTAGCTACAAGTAAACAACCATGAACTGCTATCATCTAATTCTATTAGTTAAAACTCTATTTAACTATTAGAATCATTGAGGTCTATAGCATGGAAACAAGCCCTTTGGCCCGATTTGTCCATGCCACTCAGTTTTCACAATTAAACTGGCCCCACATGTCTGCATTTGGTTCATATCTCTCCATACGTATCCCATCTATGTACCTGTCTAAACGTTTCTTAAATGACGAAATTGTACTTGCCTCCACCACCACCTCTGGCAGCCCGTTCCAGACACTCACCACCTTCTGTGTGAAAAAAAACTGCCCCTGGACCCTTTTGTATCTCTCCCCTGGACATCAAGGATCATCAGTTGAGCTGAGCTGCTACTGGTGAATCTTTATGCTGGCTTCAGCCTAACGCCGATTCAGCTAGTCAGAGTAGAATCGGCAGAATATATCAGATAATTATGTGGGTGAAAAGATGGTCTGAGGGAGAGGGTTTCAGATTTCTGGGGCACTGGGGCAGGCTCTGGGGGAGGTAGGACCAATACAAATTGGACGTGTTACACCTGCACATGACCAGGGCCGATGTCCTAGGTTGGGTATTCGGTGGAGTGATTGAGAAAACTTTAAACTAAAATAGCAGGGGGATGAGAACTGATGGGTTTTATACAGAGCTCTGAGCTGTAGGAGTGATGTTGGGAATCACTTTAAACAGGAGATTAGAGATGCATGCAATAAAGGAACATCTGTAAATATAAGACCTTAAGAAACAGGAACGGGAGGCTATTTGTCCCCTCAAGCCTGCTCCACTTTTCAAGAGGTTCATGGCTGGACGTTGCCCTCACAGATCTCTAATAAGGAGGTTCAAAGGCTCACAACCCTCAGAGAAGAAATTCCTTCCCATCTCAGTCTTAAACTCGAGTGAATTTCTTCTGAGATGATGCTATCTGGTCCTGGACTTTCCCATGAGGGAAAACATCAACTTAGCATTTAGCATGTCAAGCCCCTTAAGAATCTCGTACGTCAAAATGAAATCACCTCTTGTTTTTCTAAATTCCAAAAGTAGAGTCCCGACCTGTTTAACAATTGCTCGTAAGACAAACCCTGCATATCAGTGATCATCTCAGTGAAATAATACGCTGATGAACGTAGTCAGAAATCACGCAACAGCAGGTTATAGTCCAACAGGTTTATTTGAACACATAAGCTTTCGGAGCCTCACTCCTCCTTCAGGTGTTAGTGAGAGAGGTAGTATCAGACACAGAATTTACAAGTAAAAAATCAAAGTGTCACAACATTGATGAGGATGTATTAAACAAACCTAAGATGCTGTTAAATCTTTAATCAGTTAGAAGGCTTTAATTGATTAATATGTATATGTAAATCCCCGAATTCCTTTGAAGTCACTGTCCTGAGAGAACTTAAGGTTTTATCAATATAATAAACGGGTGATATTTTAGGTCAGATAATACATGTTGAGTGTGAGGCCCCGCTTAGAATCTGTTTGTGTTTTGGTTTGGAGTCAGACTGGTTTTATTTCTAAAGTAGGAATTTATTAAACACCACATTCACTGACTGTCTATAAATTGTGTGTTTTTTGAACAAAATAGAATGTATCTGCAAAGAGAAATTCAATATGTGTGAGAGAGAGAGAGGGGGGCGAGAGTATGTGTGTGAAGGAGAGAGAGAGAGTGTGTGTGTAAGGGAGAGAGAGTGAGTGAGTGTGTGTGTGTCTGTGTGTGTGTTGGGGGGAGAGTGTGAGAGAGTGTGTGTGTGTGCTTGTGAGACTGTGTGTGTGCTTGTGAGACTGTGTGTGTATGAGAGAGGATCTGTCTGAGTGTGAGTGCGTTTGTGTGAGTGAGTATGTGTGTTTGTATGCGTACGTGTGAGTGTGTGTGTGAGAGTGTATAGGGTGGTGGGGTCACCTGTAGTGTGACATGAACCCAAGATCCTGGTTGAGGCCATCCCCATGCATACTGAACTTGGCTATCAGCCTCTGCTTGGTAACTCTGCTTTGTTGTGTACCCCAAAATCCACCTTGGAGGATGTTTACCCAAAGATCGGATGCCAAATGTCCTTGACCACTGAAGTGTTCCCCCACTGGGAGGGAAGATCCTTGTCTGGCGATTGTTGAGCGGCGTCCATTCATCCATTGTTGTAGCGTCTGCTTGGTTTTGCCAATATACCATGCCACGGGGCATCTTTGCCTGCAGCGTATGAGATAGACAATGTTGGCAGGGTCACGAGTATCTGCCATGCACATGGTGGGTGGTGTTCCCACATGTGATGGTAGTGTCCATGTCGAAGATTTGGCATGTCTTGCAGAGGTTGCCATGACAGGGTTGTATAGTGTTGTGGTCAATTTTGTCCTGACAGCTGGGTAGTTTGCTGTGAACAATGGTCTGTTTAAGGTTTGGTGGTTGTTTGAAGGCGAGAAGTGGAGGTGTGGGGAAGATGTTGGCAAGGTGCTCATCATTATTGATAATGTGTTGAAGGCTGCGAAGAACATGGCGTAGTTTCTCCGCTCCGGGAAGTGCTAGACAATGAAGGGTACCCTATCGGACGTATCCCGTGTCTGTCTTCTGAGGAGATCATTACAGTTTTTCGCTGTGACACATCGGAACTGGCGATCGATGAGTTGAGTATCATAACCTGTTCCTTTGAGGGCATCCTTCAACACCTTCAGGTGTCTTTTTCATTCCTCCTCATCCAAACAGATCCTGTGTATGCGTAGGGCTTGTCATAGGGGATGGCTTGTTTAATATGTTTAGGGTGGAAGCTAGAGAAGTGCAGCATCATGAGGTCATCCGTAAGTTTGCAGTACAGTGAGGTATTGAGGTGTCCGTCCTTGATGGAGATATGTGTGTCCAAGAATGAGACTGATTCTAAAGAGTGGTCAATGGTAGGTCTGGAGGGATGAAATTTGTTGATACCGCTATGTAGTTGTTTCAGTGATTCCTTGCCATGAGTCCAAAGGAAGAAAATGTCATCAATGTGACTGGTGTATAGAGTTGGTCAGAGGTTCTGTGCAGCAAAGAAGTCTTGTTCAAACCTGTGCATGACGATGTTGGCATACTGGGGAGCAAATCTGGTCCCCATGGCTGTTCCGTATGTCTGAATGAAGAACTGGTTGTCGAAGATGAAGAAGATGTTGTGGTCGAGGATGAAGCGGATGAGTTGTAGGATTGCATCTGGAAATTGACAGTTGGTGATATTGAGTACCGAGGCTGTTGCGGTGATGCTGTCATCGTGGGGGATGCTGGTGTAGAGTGCTGAAACATCCATTATGATGAGGTATGTTCACAGTTCGGCTGGTCCGTGGCTGCTGAGTTTCTGTAAGAAATCTGTAGTGCTGCGATAGAAGCTGGGGGTTCCTTGTACAGCGGGTTTCAAGATGCCTTCAATATAGCCAGAGAGGTTCTCACACAGGGTTCCATTGCCTGATATGATGGGATGTCCAGGTGTGTTGGCTTTGTGTATGTTTGAAAGGCAATAGAAGTCCCCTGTGTGGCATAAAATACGTAGGGTACTCTGAAGGACTGGATTAAAAGTCTTGATCAGTCTGTTCAGTTGATGGGTGCATTCGGATTGGCAGGCCTGTAGTATTCCTGGTAGCTCAGCTGTCGGTATACTTCCTTGCAGCAGTTCATTCTATTCTGTATGATGACCGCTCCTCCTTTGTCTGCTAATTTGATGACAATGCTGCGGTTGGTCTTGAGAGCACGGATGGCGTTGTGTTGTGCCTGGGTGACGTTTTGCACTACCTTGCGAGTGCGGCTGATTAATCTGGCATTCACACATTCTCTGTTAGCTTCAGCATACCTGTCAAGCCCTGGGCAACGGCCCTCCGGAAGGGTCCAATTCAACTCCTTCTTTGCCCACTCCCCCCATGGACCTTTCTGTCGACTGATCTGGTTTATTGGTCATCTCATTGGACTCACTGCTGACATCGCGGAAGAATTCTGAGAGTCTCATTCGTCTGATGAATTTCTCTGTGTCTGCCATGAGACCAATGGGGTCCATTTTAGTGGAGGGGCAGTAATTGAGTCCTTGGCTAAGAACTTCGATTTCGTCCAGTTGAAGGGTGTGGTCACATAAGTTAACGATGCACTTTCCCATGGTGGTACCAGAGGAGACTTGGTTTGTGCTGATGGTGATGCTAAGTTTCTCCAGCTTCTTGCTCTTGGTGTGCATTTAGGTGGTGTAGTTCCTTTGCCTCGTCTGTTTGGCAGTGTCTCGTAACTTTTTGCTATATCTTGAGTGCAAGCTCAGAATATGGGCCCTATTTCGATTTCAAGGTTACACGCTTGCTGTAGAGTTGGTGTACAAGATGACTGAGGAGTTTGCGACAGTTGCGACAGCATGAAGACACTATGACAACGGATGAATGGACACCACGCGACAATTGCCAGATATTGATGTTCCCTCCCAGTGGGGGAACACTTCAGCAGTTAAGGACATTTGGCCTCGGATCTTCAGGTAAACTTCCTCCAAAGCAGACTTCAGGATACACAACAACGCAGAGTCGCCCCGCAGAGGTTGATAGCCAAGTTCGGTACCCATGGGGACGGCCTCAACGGGGATCTTGGGTTCATGTCGCACTACAAGTGACCCCACCACACTGTACACTCTCTCTCATACACACACACACATTCTACTTTGTTCAAAAAGCACAGAATTTATATTCAGTCAATGTGCCATTTTATAAATTTCTACTTTAGAGGTAAAACCAGTCTGACTCCAAACCAAAACACAAACAGATTCTTCTCACGGCCTCACACCTAAAATGCATTGTCTGACCTAAAATGTCACCTCTTCTTTACATTGATAAAACCTTTAGTTCTCTCAGGACAGTGACTTTAAAGGAATTCAGGGATTTACATATACATATTAATCAATTAAAACCTTCTAACTGATTAAAGATTTAACAGCATCTTAGGTTAGTTTAATACATCCTCATCAATGTTGTGACCCTTTGATCTTTTACTTTTGAATTCTGCGTCTGATACTACCTCCCTCACTAACACCTGACGAAGGAGTGTGGCTCGGAAAGCTTGTGTTCTCAAATAAACCTGTTGGACTATAATCTGGTGTCATGTGATTTCTGACCTTGTCCAATCCTGTCCAACACCAGCACTTCCACATCCTGATGAATATGAGGTCAGTATATTGGAAGTACTAGTAGTAGGGTGTACTCAATCAATGACAATACAGTAGGAAGTTCAGAGGTTTAGAAGGATTTTGGGGTGCTTGTTCACAGATCCCTGAAGCACTGTACATGTTAATAGGGTAGTTAGGAAGGCATACATGAGAAAATACTAAGGCTTTAGCGTGTATTTTGTTCTTTGTTTTATGCGGAGAGGTTGAGACAGAGGTGAAGATCCAATGAAGTCAACAGCTTGTGAGGCCTTAGTTTTTTTTAAGTTGTTAAGTGGTTTAAAGTTGGAACAATAGAATCAGCATGAAGCAGTGAGGTCAAGCTCCCATAGAACCAGGACTTTAGTTTAACTTTCAGTAGTTGTTGGGGTCTTGAAGCTGTATTCCTCTCTCTCTTATAGCTAAAAGCTTGGGTTCTCTTTCTGCTGCTAGAATTGCATGTGAGACAATCTATTTTACTGAATTTGCCTTTGCCGAGGGTGTGTTTCTGGGATGTTGCTATATTTGAACAGTTGCCGTTTAGTCATTAAATAATCTTTTATTCTGTTAAGTTTTCTAATAGAAGCAAGTTATTCCAATTCTTCTTCTTTTGCCTGTATTATAATTGTATTGTAAGAATAAAGTGTGTTTTGCTTCAAGCCTGGTAGTTTAACCAACCAAATTATATCTGGAACAGGGAAGCCTTACATTTGCCTTTAAAAATAAAGAAAAGTTGGTGTCTAGGCTATCATTTTAATATACTTTGAAAGGTTTGGTCTAGTCCATTGAAACTGGGGGCTCTTGTTGGGACAAAATCTCTAATTCCAGGTTGGATATAGGATTATTGGACTCAAAGACAATGAGTGATGAGTGTTGATGTTCTCTTTTCAGGTGTTGCATTCAGTTGGTTTCAATAGTGTGCGTCTTGTGTAATAATGGATCTTTCAGTCACTAAGAGGTCCCTGGGGTGGAAGAATTCACTTTGAGACTTTTACAGAAAGTGAGCACAGCAAAGCTTTTGGAATTGGCAGACAAGCTGGGGATGGGATTTCCCTTGTCTGTGCAGAAAAGAGAGGTAATTGCAGCAATAGCTCGACATTTATGATTGCTAGAAATGCCATCAGAATCAGTGGAAATTGCTAAAATTCAATTGCAAATGAAGCAGGTTGAATCAGAGGCAAAAAGAAATTAAATGGTTTGAATTACAATTGAAAGCAGAAGAACAGCAGAAACAGACAATAGCTCTAACAGAGGAAAAAGAAAAGGACAGCCCTAGCAGAAGAAAGAGAGAAATAGAGAGTTTTTGAACTTCAGAGGTTAGAACTGAAAACTTAAAGTTGACTTAAAATGACAGAGGTAGAGATGAAAGGTAGGAGTAGTGATGAGGATAGTGATGGAGAGCAATCCCATTGGAGCCAAAGGCCTCATTGGGATCTGTTTGAATATCTCCAAATATTGCCTAAGTTCAATGAGAAGGATACAGAAGCATATTTCATTTCATTTGAGAAAATGGCTAAACAAATGAAATGGCAGATAACCATGTGGGCAAATAAAATTGGTACGTAAAGCTAGTGAGGTATTTGCATCACTCTCAGAGGAGGTATCTGGGGAGTATAATGAGGTGAAAAAGCCCTCTTAAGTGCATATGAAGCCTACAGACATTTTAGGAATCTATGGAGGGAACCAAGTCAAATGTACATTGAGTTTGAAAGGATCAAACAAAGTAATCTTGATAGGTGAATAAGGGCATTGAAAATAGACCAAACATATGTCACTCTCAGAGACATGATTGTTTTGAAGGAGTTCAAAAATTCACTCCCTGAAATAGTAAGGAGTCATGTGGAAAAGCAGCGAGTTAAGACTGCAAGAGTAGCAGCAGAAATGGCAGATGATTATGAGTTGGTTCATAAAACAAAGTTTGGCTGCCGACATTAATTTCAATCTGTGAGGTATAGAAATTGGGATAAAGAGAAATCCTCAGATGCTAAGAGAAAAGGAGATCTCATTGAAGATAGCAAACATAATTTACCACAGGGTAAAAAGAAAAACCCATAAAGCGGAAAGAGAAATAAAAAAGCTCAGGTGTTTTCATTGTAATCAAGTAGGCCACATGAAGTCGCAGTATTGGTAGTTTAGAAAAAGCAGATGAATGTGGGAAAACAGGATAACCCAGTCAGTTTTGTTAAAATGGTAAAAAACAGCACAGTGGAATCTAAAAAGCTGCAAAAGAACATACAAACTGATCAGGCGTTGGCTAAGAAGATCTCTTTGAAGAATTTACTTGCATGGGTATTGTTTACTCATGTATGCTAGGAGGAGCAGGTAAAAAAATTAAGATTTTAAGACATGTGGGAGCAAGTCAATCTTTGATGGTGAGAGATGAGGAAATATGTACTTCAGAAGGAGGTAATGTGTGGAATTCATGGTGAGAAGAGCAGTGTTCCATTACATAACTTGAGGTTGGAGGGTCCAGTGAAAAGTGGTGAAAAATTCTCTGTTCTGGAGATAGTTTGACATTGCTCATGGATCAAGGGCGGGAGTGATGCCTATTGTGGTTGAAAAGCCAGTGGAAAATCAGACAACTGACGTGTTACAGGAAGTATATGCTGTGATTCTTCCTGACTATATGATAACAAAGCCACAGGTTGAAACAGGAGTCAAAATCAAAGAATAAAGATAAGGAAGATGAAGTTCAATTATTGGAAACCGTATTTGATCAAATGGTTGACGAAAGTACAAGAACAGGTGGGGGATAAAGTTGATATACTTAGTTCACAGAAGGTAGCTGAATTACAACAGAAAGAAGAAAAACTAAAGTAGTTGCATCAAAAGCATACACAAACAAAGAATGTGAGTGCGTCCCAGAATTTTACTATCTTAGAAATTACGTCTTGATAAGAAAATGGAGACCGTCACATATCCAAGTAGATGAGAAATGGGGAGAAGTTCATTAAGTTGTGTTACCAGTGGGTTATAGAAAGGAAATGTTGCGGGTAGCACATGAATTACCATTAGGAGGTCAGTTGGAAATCAGGAAGACTGAAGCCAAAATAGAAAACAACTTTTATTGGCCTGGATGGGGTTGACTTTTGCCAGTTATGTCATACATGTCAGGTAAGGTGAAAACCTCAGGCAGTGATAAAATCATCACCTTTAATACATCTCTCGGCATTTGAGGAACCTTTTACAAGAGTCTTAATTGATTGCGTAGGACACCTACCTGAAACAAATAATTGGAATCAGTATTTGTTGACCAGAACAGATGTGTCTACTAGATTTTCAGAGGTCATTCCATCACACAGTATCAGAGCTAAAAGGATTGCAGAAGAGTTACTCAATTTTTTTTTACTGTGGGTCTACCCACAGAAATACAATCTGATCATGGTTCAAATTTTACATCCAGTTTATTCAGAAAGTTATGGACATCCTGGAAATAAAACAATCAAATCCACTGTCTACCATCCAGAATCGCAGGGAGCATTAGAATGGTGGCATCAAACTTTAACGACCACGTTGAGGGCTTACAGTCAGGACTATCCAGATAATTGAGATAAAGGAATTCCATTTGTACCTTTTGTAATTAGGGATGCATCTAATAAATCAACCAAATTCAGTCTATTTCAATTAGTTTTTGGACGAGGGGAGAGGACCACTGAAATTAATTAATTAATTAATTAGTGAGTAACAGTTCAGGGCCACGCATTTGGAATATTGTCAAATTGTAGAGACAGACTAAATAGATTGGGTGAGTTGGCTAGACAGCAATTAAAAGTAGCACAGCATGTAATGAAACAGGAAGCAGACAAAAAAATCAAAAATTCATAATTTTGATAGTGGAGATAAAGCATTAGTGCTACTTCCAGTGGTGGTTGAACCTTTAAAAACAACATTTAGTGGACCTTAACAAATTGAAAGGAAATTGAGTGAGGTGAATTATTTAATAAGAACACCAGATAGAAAGAAACCTCATAGACTGGGTCATGTGAATATGCTCAAAAGATATTTTGATTGAGAAGGAAAGCAAAAGGCGACTACATTACTGGTTACAACAGAGTGAA